GAGCATTTTTCTTGTTTAAGCGCTGTCGCAGTTTCATTGAAGGCTTTAATGCCTCTATAAAATGTTTTTGCTGTGGCAGACCCTGTTTTTGTTTTATTTTTTAGGAGTTAATCTCTGCCTTCTGTTAACTTCCTGGCCTAAAGCCAGTTATTGGAGGTGGCAGAGCAATTTATGCATCAATCAAACAGCCTGTTGGAGAGCATCCTGCCCTCAGACAGAGAAGGGGGGCAGTGGGAGCTGAAGGAGGCTAGCTCCCTTTTTAAGAAAGAGGAGAGATACTAGAAATTATTGAATTTATTCTCTTGGAAATTATTTAGAATTTTCAAGGCTGCAGTGCCATTCCATTTGCATAGCTAATCATTTATCTGTTTCGTAGTGCACAGAAATAGAGGAAAGTGGGGAAAGTCCCCTCCTGGTTCCTGCAGGTTTGGGTCGTGGGGAAGTGCAGCAGCACCTGGATGTTGTATGCAGTTCTGGCCACCATTTTACAGGAGCCATGTTGACCAAGAGGAGTGGACCAGAGAGGAGTGAGCAAGAGAAAATGGTGCAGGGACTGGACAGTTGGTTGGGAGGTACGTTGGAGAAGTGCGATGGGTCATCCTAGAGAAGGCCATAGGCCTGTGTGGAGGAGGAGAAGCTGGCCTTGTGCTGCTCAGCCCCCAGGGCAGAAGGGGGAGGCCGGCGGGAGTTACTGGAAGAGCTTCCTCTGGAGGCTGCAAAGCTGAGCAGGAGTGGAATGGGCTGCCCCGAGAGTAGCTGAGCCCCTGGACCCTGGAGGGCTTTGAGTTCTTCCAGAGCCATCAGAAAGGGGTCCGCACCTTTGACAAGGCAACATCTGAGCTCCCTGCTCATGTGGAGATCTGGTGCCAGACTCCTGGTGTTCCTTCCACTTGAAGAAGAGCCAACCTTTTGGTGGTTTCCAGATTTGAGCACGCTTCTTTGTGGACAGCCTTTGCGCAAGGAAGTTGCTGAAATGAAACATTCAAATCAACAAGAAAAGTAAAAGGCTGGAGTGCTATGGCCCTCAAGGGGTGTGTAGTCTTGGCAGGGAAAAAAAAAGGAAATTTATAATTAAAGATTGATAATGACCAAAGGTCAAGGTGTGATTCGGATGGACCTGAGTTCCAGTCCCAGTTCTGCCGCTGAATATGTGTGTGATCTCCCAAATGAGAGAGAAGGTTGATCTCTCAGGCAATTCCACAGTCCTGTGACAATGCGTGTGAAGTTTATCATGGTTTATTTTCCACCTCTTCCATCCTGGCTGCTGCTTCCTGCCTCTGTGGGGTAGATCTGATCACCAAATTCTGGGCTGAGAGGAAGCTGTGGAATTGTTTACCAGCAGAAAAATGGGTTTTCTTACAGTTTCTTTGAAGCCCTTTAAAGTGAATTTCCTTAGAAGACGTATCTCCCCAGAATGTAGTTTATAAATCTTCAGAACTTGTTGACTCTGCAAGAGAATTATCCTCATGGCAGATCAAGTTCATCTTCGGTGTCTGTTGGAAGCCAGTGTTGAACTCGGAGTGTCCCCGGGCTAATGACTCCGGCAAGTGGAGAAGGGAGGTTGATGAGCTCTAACCAAGGCTGACTATCTGATCTGCCTGGCTGACTCCCTGTCTGAAAGATGGGGACATGTTTAATTGTAAATGTGGTAATAGAGTTTGTTATTTATTTTATGCTCCCCAGCAAATTGCTGCTGTCCTCGTTTCTGTTTTCATGCTTGTGCTTCCCCGCCCCCACCCTTCAATGTCTCATTCTTCTCAAAGACCGTTTTTCTGGGTGCTTTGCTTTGAGGTCTGCTGTGTGTTTGGAGGTTGAGGAATGAGGTTCATTCCTGGTGTACAGATCCCACTTTGGGGGGCGGGCAGCCGGGCTGGGGCATGGCGGTACCAGTGACTTCTGTATTGCCCACTCCCATGGCTCTCTCCCTATCCTCCTCCTCCTCATTTTCCTGGATGTTCCTGTGTCCTCTTTCTTGGAACATCCTCGTTCTGCACCCTCTTTGAGGTTCCTCTTCTCCCTACTGTTCCCTTGACTCCAGCCATTCTCAAGGCCTTAGTTCTTGGTATTTGGCTTTTGCCTTCATCTGAGGAGCCATGGGTTGCTTCTGCACCCATGCCACCATGTCTGTAAACTCAGGCCTGCCTTCCCTTTTTTCTTTTTACTGAGGCAATTGGGGTTAAGTGATTTGCCCAGGGTCACACACCTCGTCGGGTTCTCCTGACTCTAGAGCCGGTGCTCTCTCCACTGTGCCACCTTGCTGCCCCTGCCTTCCTTCTTGAACCCTGGTTTTGCATCATGAGCTGGCTGCTGGCTGCTTCCACTTCAGTCTTCATTCCTTCATTCTACAAGTATATATTGAGTGGTGGGGCTACAAAGGTAAACAAAGACACAGATAAAGCCATACCTGCCCTCAAGGAGCTTCTGTTCTCTTGATCATTTTTTTTTTAGTGAGGCAGTTGGGGTTAAGTGACTTGCCCAAGGTCACACAGCTAGTATGTGTCAAATGTTTGGTCTGAGGCCGGATTTGAACTCAGGTCCTTCTGACTTCAGGGCTGGTGCTCTATCCACCTGGCCATCTAGCTGCCCCCCTCTTGAGCAGTTTGGAATTTGGAACAACATGTACTCATAGAAGTAAATTAAGCATAGCATCCGAAGCACATGTAAGGAGGCTGCTGGTGGAAATGATGAGGGCCTTAACTGGGGGGTATCGGCATGGGCATGGGCAGGGAACACTTTGTGGAGGTGGAATTGACAGGATTGGGAAGCTGAGCAGATGTAGGGAGTGAGGGAAAGGAAGGCGTCAAGGATGACGGAAACCTGGTGACTAGAGGGATTCTGGTCCCCTCAAGAGACAGGGATTACTTGGGGGAGGGGAGGAAGATGACTTGTGCGTTCTGTGTGCGTTGGGTTTGAGATGACTGCAGGGTGTCCAGGTGGAGACATTCAGTACTTGGGTGGTGACACTGCGTAGATTTGGGAGTTGTCTGCACATCTGTACGAGCTTATAAAGTGATGCAGAGAGAGGGAAGAGAGAGAAAAGAGGACAGAGGGGAAGGTTGGACAGGTCTAGAGAGCAGACTGAGTGGTACAGAGAGGAGAGAAACCCAGGCAGATGAGATGGCCGGAGGAGGGAGTGGTCAGCCATGTCACGCTGCAGAGAAGTCACGTGGGATCAAGAGTGAGAAAAGGCCGCTCGGAGACTCTCGGCAGTCCTGCTTTATGGCAAAGAGGTGGTGGACCATAGGTGCAGAATGGGACATGCCTTTTCCAACATGACCAATGTTTGGTTGGTTTTACTTATCTTTGCTTATTTGTTATAAGGAAGGGTTTTGTTGAGGGGGATGTTAAGTTAATTTTCTTTCTTATTATTATGAATTTAGCAAACATGAACTTACATGAACATTTCCCTATAGCAAGAACAAAAAATTGGGTTTGTAGGGGCAACTTTGGCCATGTCTTGCATGCGCCTTGTTTTTTTGTTATCAGTTACATTGAGCCTGGTGGCTCCCACACTGCCCTCCTGTCTGTGTCCCTTCTGGACTTTCTCCTGGTCCCATCTCCGCGCTTCTCTTACGGGTCATAGATGGTAGTTTCTCTCTTGTCTTATTTGTTGGCATCCCAGTCACTGCTTCCGCCTCCCCACTGCCCTAAAGTACTCCCTTCTTGCCCAGAGAGAAGTACAGTCCCACAGCGTAAAACCCACAGTGATTACCTCGGGAAGTATGGACCTCAGTCTCCTCTCAGTGCAGAGTCATTGGTTGCTGGTCGTGAGGCTGCAGATGAGCATTAGCCTTCTGCTCATCGGCTGCTTTGGTGAGGCCAGTTTTAGTCCAGTGGTAGAGCTGGAAGCCAGTGTATGGGCCTGGGGAGTGAAAACCACAGGGGCAGTGTGGTATAAATAGCTTTTTCCATGAGATTGACTGTGAGAGAAACTGGAGGTATAGGACAGAAACGTGCAGGGATGGTCAGAGCAGGTGAAAGGTTTGTTTTGTTTACAGATGGGTTGGGCAAGTTTGTAAGTGGTAGAGAAGGAGCCAGTGGATAAGGGAAGGAGAGATGGTGGAAGGGTGGGCTCCTGGAGGAGGTAGGAAGGGTGGGATAGAGGGCCCAGGTAGAGAGGGGTAGCTATTGGCCAGAAGGACTGCCTCTTCCTCTGAGACCCGATGGTGGATGAAGTCAAGGTGATTTGAAGTATGGAATGGGGGGGGGGGGAGCTTGTGATGGACAGCCTCAGTTTTTTCAGGGAAATATTTGGTGAAATTCTCAGCTGTGGTCACAGGGGAGGGGATTTTTGGGGAGTTTGAGGAGAGAAGAACAAGTTTGGAACAGTCCCTCAGAAGGACACTGGACATTGGAGGAGTAAAGGCACTGGCGTATTATCGTACAAAATATATACAAGAAGAAGGAGGCTGGGTGATGGCTTGTTGGGGCTCCCGGGGTCATAGGCCTTAGAGGCCATCACTTCCAACTTCTTTTAGTACAGATGGAGAAACTGAGGCTGAGATAGCTTATGTGTCATAGAGGAGATTTCTGTTCAGGTCTGACCTGGCCTCTGAGGGCCCATCTAACTCTGAGATTTCAGGAAATGAGGTCTGTGTTTCAGCTTAGCTACTCGATGTTCATTTACCATGGGAAATGTACTTTGGGCTGAAGTGTTCTGCATCCAGCCTCTGGGCGCCATCTTGGATGCTTAGGCTGCTGTCATTGTGTGTATTTATTGGGAAGCTCTGGACCTGGCAGTCTCGATACTGTTGTCTCCCGTTTCATTTGTCAGTCGTCATACAGCCAGAAGGTCTCAGGCGTTGCCTCTCGGGCTTTGTCCTTCATCCTTTTCCCCCTATTTTTGTCAGGTCATTCTGTAGCCATGCATGGCTGGCGATGGAGTTTTTCTGGGCCCTGTGTAGCAGCAGCTAACATCTCGCTTTTTCTTCATTTAATAAATAGGACAAAAGGTTAAGTTAGACAGAGATTAATTGCCTTTTCTTTTTCTTTTCAAATAGTATCCAGCATGTGTATGGAGCCCAGCATCCTCCTTTTGACCCATTAATACATGGCACGTAAGTCAAACATCACCTCTGAAAGCTTGTCCTCGAGTGTTTGTTTGCAGAGGGTGATGGGGCCACCCCATCCTGCTTGGTGCGCTTTGCCAGAGGCCAGATGGGATCACGAGATGGAGTCCCTCTAGTACTTCTCTTCTAGAGTAGGCCCCAGGGCTGGGTTTGGGGAAGGTGGGAAGAGGGCATGGGGCCTGGAGATGCAAGGGGCAGAGGGTGGAGTCTGGCCCCTTAGTCCCCAACGCCTTGAGCGCTCTTTCCGTTAGCCAGACTCTCAGTTGTTCAGGGCCTGGTGGCTCAGTGGAGCCCCTTGCTTGCCTCACTGTGGTTCTCTTTCCTTTTGCTGTGTTCTTGTGTGATCACACCTCCCTTGGAAATCTGGAAGAGAGGAGGTAGAAACTGGGTGAAAGCAAACCCTAACTCCATCCTAAGCCTGTCCCATGGTAAGGGCCAGCCCTGTAGGCAGCTAGGCTGTAGAAGGGCTCCTGTGTGTACTCTCTGACAAAGCTGTGAGTCTGTGAGCTCATGAGCTCTAGTCCTGTGGGATCCCATGGCAGAGCATTTCCCTCTTATTGTTAGCTTGGCCAGAAGGCCAGGATGGGAGAATGGGATGGAAGAGATTTGGGAATCATTGGTGTATTGAGGCTGCTGTCCCAGGGTGCCTGTGGAGACCTCCTCAGGGCTTGCTCAGTGGCTTTCCCCGTGGGTTTTCTTTCCTCCCTTCCCAGGGCTAAGTCACTTGCACATCCAGGGAAGATAGTCCTTCCTTATTATCCCTGTGTGGGGATGGACTGAGGTCTGAAAATGTGTGTGTGTGTGTGTGTGTGTGCACGCCTCCTGGCTGCTGTGCTCTGCTCTTTCTCTTTGGGTGTTCCTCTTGGGGGACTGTTAGGAGTAAAAACACTCCGTTTTGTTTGCAGGTTGATTAAAACGGTCCCCAAGACACCAACCACCCCAGTGAAACCCAAGAAAGTCAGCACTTTCCAGGAATTTGAGAGCAACACGAGTGATGCATGGGACGTGGGGGAGGATGAGGACGAGCTCCTGGCCATGGCGGCCGAGAGCCTGAACACGGAGGTGGTCATGGAGACGGCCAACCAGGTCATCCAGAACCACAGCCGGCGCCAGGAGCAGCACCGGGTGCCCCAGGAGCACGTCTGTGGTGATGGCGAGCGGGCTGAGCCTTTCTCTGACCTGCCCTTGGTGACGGGCACTGACAGCAGGCTGGTGAAGTCTGTCAGTGAGAGTCACACGTCCCATTCTGCAGGTAACAGGCAGGGAATCTTCCTCCCGGCTCAGGAAATGCCCTGGGCCTCTTGGTGAGGCTATGGGCAGAGACTGGCAGGGTACATTGTTTGTGGGGGCCTTGGGCTCTCTGCTCTGGGCCCCTTCTTGGGAAGCCCATTAGGGCATGGAGCTGTCTGAGCTTGGTGGAGACAACAAGGACACTCTCTCCCTGCCAGTGTCCCTCCATCCCTTTGTCCATCTTCCTCCCTCCCTCCCCCCATGCTTTGTTTCCTTTCTTGCCTTCTCCCTCCCCCTCCCCATCCTTCTTCCCTCTGTCCCTCCATCCGCTCACCTCTCCCTCCCATCCTTCTTTTCTTTGTCCCTCCCTTCTTTCTCTTCCTTTTAAGTCCCAGAAATCCATGGTAAGGAGGTGCCATTGTTAGTGACAGTGACAGCCGAGGGTACGGTCCGGGCAGCTACTTTCAGGGGCTGTGCGGGGTTATTAGACACCTGTGTCCACGTGGGAGGAGATCCTGTCCTCTGAGCCCAGAGGGGCACGTTCCCCATGGAGCCCGAGGCAAGCTTCTCTCTCTACTGCAGTTGGCCGGGCTGGGAGACACCCAGGCTCTGCTGGAAACTTCCCTCACTGCCTCCCCGGGCAGCCCCTTTCCCTTTGGGACGGCCAAAGTCCTTGTTAGGAAGTGTTTCCTGGCCTCAGGTTGAAATCTGTGACCTGTCCTCACATTCTTGTTGGGCCCAGGTAGGGCAAGGCTGTCCTCTTGGCCCTGTGGTTGCAGCTGCTTTCTGGCTGCTTGACAAAGGTCATGTCTGACTGTCCCTCCCAGAGTCCAAGAGGTCCTAGGGACTCTGGCCATTTCTGTCTGCCCCTCCAGCCCCTCCCCTAATTCACCCTCATTAGGGCTTCCTCAGCCCTACGAGATGTCATGTGCGAAGAGATCAGATCAGGCAGATGGCAGATGGCGCCGCCCGTGCTGCCGGGGCATGATGAAGGGAGGGAGGCAGGAAGGTGGTCAGCGGCCATTCTGATCCTGGCTCTGTTGTTGGCCTTGGGAACAAGAGCAGCCTCTCCTTTTTCAGGGTCACGGGCTCCCTCTTCCAGCCCGCGGTACCCGGGTATCCCTAGGACCTAGCATGGACCTGGAACATAGAATTTATTGGCCTAGGGAACCTTCTCTGCGGCTCATCATTGTCTTAGAGAGTGAGAGGTTGAGAGACTCACCCAGGGTCACCTGGCTAGTATGACTCTGCTCACTGCTTCTCTGTGCACCTGGTACATAGTAGGTACTTGTCATTTCAGATCGGTGGTGCAAAGATAAATGTCTGCGTTTGACAGGTGGGGCAGCCTGGGTCTCAGAGAGGGGGAAGAGACTTCCTCATGGTCAGCCGTTTAGTAAGTATGTGAGCAGGGCTCCAGACCTGTGTTGCTTGACTCCCCTCCCCCAGGCCCATGGTTTTCAGCCCCCCATCTTCCTGGGCATCTCTAGGTTGCCTGTGTCTGTGCTTTCACCTTTGTTCTGTCTGTGGTACCTGGCACCCGGCCTCCATGTAAGTGAGTGCTCGGCCAGCTCTACTTGACTGCCTGACTGCCTGGGGCCCGGAGCTGCTGGCTCCCAGTGGGTGTGAGTGGGGCAGAGGGTGCCGGCACGCCCCGGCTTGGACTGACTCAGGATCTGAAGAGGGGCAAGAGGAGGAGTTTGGAGGTGTTTAAAGGCGTGGCCCATCTTCCCTCGGCTTCTGACGAGATTGTCTGTGTCTGACCTTTGGGTTGTTTCAACTCTCCACATGTGAGCATGCTGGGAATTGCATCCCTTGTTGAATCTCCACACTGGAGCTGGCCTTTCCTCCTTCATCCTCCCTACTCAGTCAGCCTTGGGGCTCCTTGTTACCTCTAGGACCAAGTATGTGCTTGCCTGTTTGGCATTGAAGGTTCTTCACAGCCTGAGCCTGATCTACCCTTTCTGGTGTTCTACATCACCGACCTTGGGTTCTGCTGTCCAGCCACATTGGCTGCTCGCCGTGGCTCTCTTGTGACCCTCCACCTTCCATCTTCATGCCTCAGTACTGGCTCTCTTATGCTTGGAAGGCTCTCCCCTCTTGCCTCGGCCTGCGGGACTTGAATCTCCTTCAGGCTCAGCTCAGGTACCACTTGGGGTGTGAAGCCTTTCCCCTAGCTACTCGTCCCTCCCTCCCTCCTTCTCTAGACAACCTTGTATTGTGTATGTGCTGATATACATTCATGTCATCTCCCTCTCCCCCTTAGAACGTTAGCTCCCTGAGGGCAGGGACTGGCTCATTTGGGTGTCTGTATCTCTAGCATTTAGCTCAGTCCCTGGCCCATAGTCAGTGCCTAATAGGCGTTTGTTCTTTGATTGATTGCTTTTGAATGAAGGCGGAGAAAATCATGAAACTGTGCTGACTGGGTCCACTGCAAATTAATATTCTGCAACCTCCATTGGGCCCTCCCTGCTGCCAGGCAATTCACTCTTTTACAGAAAAAAGGGAGGGCCATTTGCTGTGAGCTCCCTCTTCTCCCTTCTTCTCATCTATTACTCGGATGTCTTCTGCCACCACCTCCTCCTTCACTCTTGTCTTATGTGAAGAGGTGGCCCTTCTCATTGCCAAGGCATGCTCACAGAGGTGGTAGACCCATTCCATTGCTTTTCCAACTGATTGTCTCCTATCATAGCTACTCCCTATCTACAATCTCTTCCCATCTACTGGCTCCTTCTCTGTTGCCCAAGACACTTGCCCATACCTCTTCCATCCTCAGAAACCCTCACCTGACCCTATAGTAAGCATCCCTGCTTACTATTGTCCTATATCTCTTCTGTCCTGTGTGGCTAAACTCCTTGAGAAGGCCATCTCCAATGGGTGCCTCCATTTTCTCTCCTCTCTCACCCCTTACAGTCTGCCTTCTGACATTATCATTTCACCAGAACTGCTCTCTCCAAAGTTACAAATGACCTCTTAGTTGCTCAATCCAGTGGCCTTTTTGCAGTCCTCATTCTCCTTGACCTCTCAGCAGCCTTTGAAACTGGCTGTTCACTCTTTCCTCGTTGATACTCTGTTCTCTGGATTTTTGGGCCATCACTCTCCCAGTTCTCCTCCTACATCTCTCACTCCTCCTTCTCAGTCTCCTTTGCTGGATCCTCATCCAGATTATCCCCTCTAATCATAGGTGTCCTTCAGGGCTCTGTCCTGGGCCCTCTTCTCTTCTCCCTTTATTCTCTGTTTCCCCCATATCCAGACTGTTGCCAAGGCCTCTTGATGTCACCTTTTCAGCTTTTCTCTAATGTGCCCCCATCTCTTCTCTGACATGGCCCCCACCATGGAGCAGGCCCTGATCGCCTGGACTATGGCAGTCGCTGCTGGGGAGTCTGCCTGCCTCAATCTCCCCCCACTCCAGCCCACGCTCCATTCACTTGTCAAATTGATCTTCGTTAGGTGCAGGTCTGACCATCCTACCCCCACCCCCACCGCTATTCAGTGTACTCCAGTGATTGTCTACAAGATCAAGCATAAAATGCTTTGTTTTACATTCACCATCCTTCCTCCCTTTCCAGTCTTCTTGTGTGTGTGTGTGTGTGTGTTTGTATGTGTGTGTGTATGTGTATATATGTGTGTACATACACATATATATGTATGTATGTATGTATTTACATACATACATATATATGTATGTATGTATGTATTTACATACACATGTGTGTATCTTAGATCCAGGGACACTGCCCTCCTGGCTCTTCCATGAATGAGGCACTCCATTTTCTCACACCAAGGAAATGAGAGTCTTGCAGTTCAGTTTGTGGTGTCCTGGTGGCCCCCCCCCCCCCCCCCCCCCCTGTCTGTAGGGAGACAAGACCAGAAAGTGGGAAGAGTTGTAATCAGATGAGGTTGAGGTCATCTGTGCAGGTTAAAGAGCCATATGCCGTCCTGCTTGGATTACGGGAAGTAGAGGGGGACTCTTTGTCCTGCTCATCGTTCTCCTTGTGGGACAGAGTTAATTTGTGTTGTCCAGATGCTAAGATAGGTTGGTGGAAAAAAGAAAAGGATCACAAATATTCTCACTCTCTATCTTCTGCCCTCCCATCTCCACTTCCATTCTTTCCATGGCCCCAGCCCCAAGGCAGCACGCTGAACTAAAGCAGGATGGGGGGATTAAGAGATTGTGAGCCCCTTTCTTTGCTAACCCTGGACTCCCCCTCTGGCCAGGGAGCAAGCCTGCCTAGGGGTGGTGGGGACAGGATATGAGGAAGGTGCTTCCCCTCCCTCCTCTGTAGGCTTTCGTGGGGCACAGTCTGCCCAGGGGCCAGAGTGCGCCTCCCTCCTCCAAAGCCTCAGGGTTTCTGTCATTAGGTTTTTTCAGTCCATATTTTGAATCTGATGAGTAGGTGGAAATGAGCAGCCTCTAAGAGTGATTTTCTTTCCTGATTGGCAGTGCGCTGTCCGAAACGTGTGGATGTCAGTGTGTTCAGCAGAGCCTGTTGTCCCCATCACTTGTCTGGAGTTCATCTTTTCACTGGAAACTTCATTTTTGTCTTAAGAAAATGAGGTGGAATGCAGTGATGTGGTTTCAGATTTTGAATTTGTTGGACTTTTTTAGGTGGCTGATTTTAGGGAGCAGTGTAGTGTGGTGGAAAGAAGGCAAGGCTGGGGTCAGGAAAGGCCCAGGTTCGAGTTCTGACTCTCACTTTGTAAACTTTAAATGCATGTCGGAGTGTGAGCTTGGGAAGCACCCTCCCACCCCCCAAAAGCAGCCTGTTCTGCGGTGATCTTCTAGTGTGGGAAGGGCCTGGGACTGTGACTTAGGACACAGAGGTTCTAGGGCTGGCTCTTGCCCTTCTGCCCTTTGTAGGAATGTGGTGACTGGTGGTGGCGATGGTGCTCGTCAGCATGGCTGGAGGGATGATGTAGGTCCAAAAGCCTCTTTGCTATCCTTTCCCTCTTCCCTTACATGCTTGTAGGGTCAAAGGTACAGACAGCCAGCCTGGCAGTGTGGTATCTGCAGGCCTGCGTTCTAGGCCCAGCATCCAGTGGGACAAGTCACTGAAGTGCTCTGGCTCTTCACTTGCCTCCAGGCTCTGCTGAACATGCTGATACCCATGTGTTTCTGACATGAGGAACATTGAGACATTGCCTGCCTCCCTCATGGTGTTGCTCTGAGATTCAAAGGTTCTCAAAGGAGATGGCTTTCCCCATGAGCCCACTCTGGTGCTGGAACACCAGCCTCTGGCAGGACACCTTTGCCCTTCAGGAACCTCACAAGTGATCGCTGCCTTTCCCTGGGCCTTACGAGGGCCTCCAAGGCCTCCCCTGCAGCTCTAGCGGCAGCACCTTTGGCAGGACAAGCGAAGCGTTGTGGTTCTCGCGTGCTATTCTGGGCCACCTTCCGTCATCTCCCCTTTGAATGGCCAGCTCAGTGCGCCTGGGCTCCCTTCTTTTCCACAGTTTATCAGCTTATGGTAGCTGGATGTGTGATGACTTAGAAAATGTTTGAGTGCGAAAGGATTGTAGAGGCCGTCTTGTTTACCCTACTGCCCATGCCATGAGTGTCCTTGCAGAAGTCCTGGGAAGTTGTCATGCAGCTTTTGCGCGGACACCCCCATGAGCGAGAGCCTTATGTTTCTAGGACATACCATTGTTTGACAGCTAGAATTATTAGGAAGTTATTTCTTATAGTGGGCAGAAATCTGCCTTTCTGGCCATCACATTCAATTGGCCTCTAACCTGTGGAGGGCTGGAGCTGAGCAGAGCAGGCTAGAGGTAGGAGAGTCGGGAATCAAACAGAAGTTTAATTTCGAATTGAGGAACATGGCTTGCAAGCAGGCAGGCAGATTAGACACGTCTGCTGGGCCCCTGCCCTGTTGGGGGGACCCGAGGTGGTGTGGGGAGATCTTAACGCTGCACAGTGAACTGTGGCCCTGATAGCAACGGCGGGACAAGTTTGATTCTTAGCTGGGCTTCGTGACTGGAATGTGGGTTCTTGTCCGAGCTTGTCTGAGCTTGTCTGAGCTTGTCCGAGCTTGTCCGCTGCTGGTCAGAGCAATGCAGTGATTATGTGATTTTGCCAGAGGGGGAGATCATCTGCAGGGTGAGTGCAAAGGATTGTTGTTATGCCAAGTTCTGGGCCCAGCTTGCCTGCTGGGCCATAGTTCTGGAAAGCAGGGTGTCTCTTAATAGCATCCTGACACTCCCTTTTCTCTTCTCTTGTGCTTAGCAGCCCTTCACCTATCTGTGCACATATGGTCATCATGGGCTCTCTTCAGCCTTTTCTTCTCCGTAGGCTTGGCATCACAGGGCCTTCAACTGCACTTCCTGTGACATGACATTAGAGCCTCCTTCCCTTCCCTGGGTTGTGTTTTTGTTGCTGCCCCCAAATGGGGAGCCTTGGGTAGACGCAGAGCTCCAGCTGTGCCCTGACTGGGGCGGCGTGCTGTGAGACTCTTCTCTCCGCAGCATTTTTTAATGCCCCCTCTGGTTGCACTGGCTTCCTGGGCAGCCACACCAACCCGCTGGCACGTGCTCGGCCTTTGACCTGTGACAGGCCTTTGGTCTTTCACGCAGACTGCCCCTTCTCCACTTTCTTTTTGTACATTCTTTTCTTGTTTATCCCTATTAAGTGTCATTGCCTCAGCTGCCAGAATTGGAAGGGGCCATAGAGGCCACCCTGTGCTGGGCTCTAGAGCTGTTGGGTGCCACAGACCCTTTGGCAGTCTGATGGCCCCCTTCCCAGGATCCAGTTTTTAAATGATTGAAGAAAATGCTCAATTTCAGTTAGAGGCTGGTGAAAATAAAGCTGCCCTTTTTTTTAAGCATTCCTGTTTATCCGGTCTCTGAAATGTATCCGTGGACCCCAGGTTAGCAACCTTTGATTTCAGCCAGCTGTCCCATGTTAGAGAAGAGAAGTTAAATGCCTTGTGCAGGGTCACATCAACAGAAGGAGGCCTGGGGCTTTACCTCTGATCCCCTGACTCTGGGGGTAGCAGAAACTTTGGCTATGGCTTTAGTCTTTACGCTTTTGTAAACCCGTCTATAGAGCAGTCCTTGCTGGGGATGTTGGGAGAGCGCACCACCTTCCCCTTTCTTACACTGGTTCCTGAAAATGTCGTGACCTGTGTGCTCTCCTCAGGGGCCTGGCTGCCCTGGTAGCGTGGCGGCCCCATTCCCAGAATGCCCTGTTCATCTCATGCTTTTCCGGCACCACTTTATTTTACAGCCCAGGGGGAGGGGCTTCTGTTGGGTGTGGTGTCTCTCCATATGACCTTCTCTTTCCTCTTCAGAAGAGCAGAATGGGAGAGAACCTGTAAATGGGAGAGGGTGGTAACCTTACATTACCAGTGGGGGAGAGAGTGCTTGCTGAGTTTGGCGAGCTGGCGGCAGGTGGGAGGGGGACAGCTGGAGACACCAGCTGCGCTCATTGCCCTTTTCTGTTTCCCTCTTGCAGAAATCCTCAGTGACACCACCCCTCTGCAGCGCTCCCAGTCTCTGCCTTATGCCTCCACGGTCCCGTTAGGCTATGGAGCAGACGATAAGAATGCACTGGGCCCACCGGCCTTGTCGGAGAGGGAGGTCTATCGGCTAGAGAAATTTAGGCAGCTTCTTGCGGGTCCCAACACGGATCTTGGTAAGTTCTCGTCTGCTTCGGGGCTCCCTGTCGGGATCTGATAGGAGGCAAGGGAATCTTCCATGTCTGGAATAAGAAGAAGCCCCCTTGGTATTGAATGATTTTGCTGTTTAGCGCAGCCAGGGAGCTCCTGGGTGTCTGTTGCTGAACTTTGACGCGGGCCCATTGACTTAACAGCACTCACTGCCCCTCTGCTCCATCCTCTCCCATTCTGCTCCCTCTCTCAGGATTGTGTGGTGTCCTTGTGTAGCTGGCTTTGCAGAGACTCCTGGGTGGGCCCAGCCGCCAGATGCATTTTGGGGGCACTGGTGGCCATTGTTCTAAGTATCATTAGGCCAGAGAGTTAGGGAACAGAGTGTTGCTGGCAGTCAGTAAATGGCTGCAAGTTCGGGACATCACCAGATCCCCCCTGGAACCATCATAACTGAAAGGCTGGGAGACATGTGTGTTCTGCCCAGTGGGGTGCCCGCCATCTGTCAGGTGGGACTGAGACGTCAGTGCTGGTCTATTTTAAAAAAATTTTTAAAAAAAAATTTTTAAATTTATTTTGATTTATCAACAATCACTTCCTTATGCTTTTGAGTTTAAAATTTTTCTCCCCCTCCCTCCCCAACACTCTCCCCAAGATGGCGCAAATCTGGTATAGGCTATACATATACATTCTTTTTTTTTTAATATAAATTTATTTATTTTTAGTTTTCAACATTCACTCCCACAAGTTTTTGAATTCCAAATTTTCACCCCATCTCCCCCTCCCCCCACCCCAAGATGGCATGCATTCTGAATATCCCTTCCCCTAGTCTGTCATCTCTTCTATCTCTCTCCCCTTTTCTTATCCCCTGCCCCTTCTGTTTTCCTATAGGGCAGGATAGACTTCTGTGCCCCATTTCCTGTATTTCTTATTTTTTAAAACTTTAGGTTTCAAATTTTCTCTCTTCCTCCCTCCCCACCCACCCTCATTGAAAAGGCAAGCAACTCAATATAGGTTATACATGTGCAGTTATGCAAAACACGTCCATAGTAGACATGTTGTGAAAAACTAACTCTATTTCCCTTAATCCTATCCTGCCCTCCCATTTATTCTATTCTTTTTTTTGACCCTGTCCCTCCTCAGAAGTATTTACTTCTGATTACCCCTTTCCCAATCTGCCCTCCTCTCTATCATCTCCCTGCTCTCTTGTCCCCTTCTCCCCCTATTTTCCTGTAGGGTAAGACAGATTTCCATACCCAATTGAATGTGTATGTTATTCCCTCCTTAAGCCAAATCCTATGAGAATAAGATTCACTCATTCCCTCTCACCTTCCCCTGTTTCCCCTCCACTGTAAGAGACTTTTCTTTTCTGTTTTTTTTTTGAGATAATTTACCCCATTCTACCTCTCCCTTTCTTCTTCTCTGAGTATAATCCTCTCTCATCCCTTAATTTTATTCTCCAGATATGACCCCTTAATCTTCAACTCACCCTGTGCCCTCTGTCTATCTATCTACATATACATAAATATAATTTTTTTCCTCCAACTACCCTAATACTGACAAAGGTCTCATGAGTTATAAATATCATCTTTCCATGCAGGAATGTAAACAGTTCAGTCTTAATAAGTCTCTTATGATTTCTCTTTCCTGTTTACCTCTTCATGTTCCACTTGAGTCCTGTATTTGAAAGTCAAATTTTCTATTCAGCTCTGGTCTTTTCATCAAGAATGCTTGAAAGTCCTCTATTTCACTGAATGACCATTTTTTCCCCTGAAGGATTATACTCAGTTTTGCTGGGTAGGTGATTCTTGGTTGTAATCCTATCTCGTTTGCCCTCCGGAATATTATATTCCATGCTCTGCGATCCTTTAATTATACATATACATTCTTATTAAACATATTTTCACTTTACTGATGTTGTGAGTAAGAATTAGAACCAATAGGAGGAACCACCAGAAAGAGGAAACAAAACTCAACAGAAGAAAAAAAATAGCAAATAGTATGCTTCGATCTGTGTTCAAATTCCATAGTTCTTTCTCTGGGTGTGGATAGCATTTGCCATCATGAGGCCTTTGGAGATGTCTTAGATCCTTGTATTGCTGGGAAGGGTTAAATCTCTCAATACTAGTCATTGCACAACGTGGCTGTTATTATGTATAACATTCTCCTGGTTCTGCTCACTTCACTCAGCATCAGTCCATACAAGTCTTTCTAGGTTATTCTGAAATCTGCCTGCTCATCATTTTTTATAGCATAATAGCATTCCATTGCATTCATATACCACAACTTGGTCAGCCATTCCCCAGTTGATGGGCATCCTCTCATTTCCAATTCCTTGCCACGACAAAAAGAGCTGCTATAAATATTTTTGTACATGTGGGTCCTTTTCCTATTTTGATGATCTCTTTGGGATACAGCCCTAGAAGTGCTGTTGCTGGGTCAAAGGGTGTGCACATTTTTATAGCTCTTTGGGCATAGTTCCAAACTCCACCAGCAATGCATTAGTGTTCCAATTTTCCCACATCTTCTCCGACATTGATCATTTTCTTGTTTTGTCATCTTGGCCAATCTGATAGGTGTGACAATGCTGGTCCCTTGAGCCTCGCTTTCTCGGGAGCCCAATTCCACACTCTCTCTTGCGTTTTTCTGAGACCAGACTTGGGGCTCACAGAGTCTCCACACAGCTGCCCAAATTGTGGGCCAGGTCACTGTCCTCCTCAGAAGCATTCAGTGGTTCCTTGTTACCCTTAGGACAAAATAGAGCCCCCGAGGTATTTCAGGACCTTCACCATCTGGCTGTCACCTTCTTTCCCATGAGTCCCTTTTTTCTACTACATGTTCCAGCAAAAACTGGCCTCTGGCTGCTTTCCCAGCATTGGCCTGCCTTGCTCCACCTCTCAGACTCTGCCCACATTGCCGTCTGTGCCTAACACGGGCTCCCCTCTCCCTGCCCCTGGTCAGGCTCCCTTCTTGTTCCACGGCTCGCCTCCACTCCCGCCTGGTGTCATCTGTGGCCCATCACTCGTGCCCCGAGCATATGCTTGCTTGTCCCTGTGTTCCTTCCCTGTGGGGCTGGCACTGGGCCCTTGTACCTCCTGGTATCCCTAGGGTCTCACACCACATTGGATAGTGGTATCATGGTGAATGGTCATGTGGCTTTTCTCACCCACTTGGGCACAGGCATTGCCACCTTTTCTTCGTGGTCCCTAGGGCATCGCCCCTGCCCTGATCCAGCTGGACCATGGCATGAGCTCACATTTCATTGGTACTCATGGGTCTCCCTCCAGGCCCCTTCCTCACCACCGTTCTATGGAGAAAGTCTGTGAGTGTTTTCTTCCAGTGAGGACGTGGAAGCCCAGAGAGGAGCTAGGAGAGTCTGCCCCAGGCTCCCCAACTCTGGGCAGGTTTGTAGACATTTTCATTGATAGTTACAAGCGAAACTTGGGAAAGAGTAGGATTACAAGACTAATCGATCTTTTTTACTGCCAAGTGAAGACAGCCCATCTGTGGGCTGTTTCTAGAAGGCTTTCACCGTGTTTCCTCATATATGAAATGGGAAGATTGGGCTTGCACTTATCTTGCAGGGTTACGGTCAGGAAGACACTTTGCAAGCCTTATGGTTTTATGGAGATGTGCATTTTTATGATGATTCTTTGTGTGTGTGTGTGTGTGTGTGTGTGTGTGTGTGTGTGTGTGTGTTTTCCATGCTCATCCCCTTATTCATTTATTCATTCATTCATTTATTTATTTTTTAAACTTTTGAGTTTTACATGTTTCTCCCTCTCCCTCCCCAAGATGGCATGCAGTGCTGATATAGGCTATTACATATACATTCCTATTACACATATTTTCATATTAGTGATGTCATAAGCAAGAATTAGAACTAATAGGAGGAGCCCCCAGAAAGAGGCATCAAACACAACAGAAGAAAAAGAATAGCAAACAGTCTGCTTTGATCTGCGTTCAGACTCCATAGTTTTCTCTGGGTGTGGATAGCATTTGCCATCACGAGGCCTTTGGAGATGTCTTAGATCTTTGTATTGCTGAGAAGGTCTAAGTCTATCAATATTAGTCATTGCACAACGTGGCTGTTACTGTGTACAGCGTTCTCCTGCTTCTGCTCACTTCACTCAGCATCAGACCATACAAGTCTTTCCAGGTTTTTCTGAAGTCAGCTTGTTCGTCATTTCTTATAGCACAATAGTATTCCATTCCATTCATATACCACAACTTGGTTTTTTAAAGAAGTCTGAGTTTGACACTTGGACATTGCTGGGCAGGCCGTCCATCAGTAGCTGCCAGGTGCCGTACCCTGCACTGGGTGCTGGGTACAGTTAGAAAGGATGGAACATTCCTTAGTGGTGAAGACAGCCAGTACAAGGAGAAGTAGGTGCAAAATAAAGAGGAAGAGAACAGGGCAGCGGGGAAAGGCTTCACAGGACATGGTGGTGCCTAAGCTTGAAGGGAGAGATTGAGTGGGTGGAATTGAGGGAGGAATGCATTTCCAGGTGCTGGGGATGTGGGCCGAGAGGGAAGGCCGGTTCAGGGAGGGGAAAAAATGGAAGTGGGTTTGCTCACCCCAGGGTTTCTAGTTTAGCCTAGGGGCATTAGGCAATGGGGAGCTGCTGGAGGTGATTGAGCAGGAGAGTCACACCTGGGCTTAAGGAGCGTGACTGCAGGAGCAGCAGGAAGAGGAGGAGGGGTAGCAGCTGCAGCTATGTGTGGGGGAGGGCCTGGGCCAGGGTCAGAGCTGTCAGAGCTAGGAAGCACGAGATTTGGCCTGTTGGTGGACACGTTTGGCAAAGGGCAGTGGAGAGTGGAGGATGATTCTCAAGTTGGAACTTTTGGGGTGCTGGAGGGACAGTAGGGCCTATGACTGAAGGGGGAAGCCCCCCTCCCGGGTAGGCTTTATTTATTATATAGGCTTTCTTGAAATGAAAATTTCTTGCTGTATATTTTGGTGGTGTGGTGTTTTTTTATGTTTTCAACATTCACTTTTTATAGGATTTTAAGTTCCAGATTTTTTTTC